ACATATAGGTTCTCTCTTTTCTTAAACAACCCCATAAGCCAAAAAAAAAAAGCCCCCAAATCAAAGACAAAACACCAAAAAGACTTAATAAGGATTGAAAGTGGAGCTAGAAGGGAGATGGGAAGTGGGTTGCTAACGTTAAGCCCTACTGTCAGGAGGAGTTTAAGGCAGAGTAGGACACAATCCTGGGCCATGAATTTGTGTTGACTGATCCTGCACACCACTGGGGAGCAAACCCAGCCCTCTGGAAGCAGAGACAGAGCTTTTGTTGTCTTAGATCTAAGAGTGCAGGTTAGGTTCTTCTGCTATGGTGTTCAAGTGTCAGGTTAAGGGATTCAGCAGATATAAAACTGGAGCAGCTCTGCCCGTACCAGGAGCACAATGTGCTTCCTCTCCCCATCACCTCCCACCCACCTGGATGCCTTGCACAGGGACTAAATGCCACAGAGGTGCTGGCTCTGTGCCCTGGCAATGCACATCCACTTGCTCATCACCTAATTTGGGTCTCAGGGCAGTCTCAGGGCCCCCCCTGTGTGGTGACATGCAGACACCCACTGCGTTCTGCAGAGAAGTGCAACACTTCTGAGAATTTTCCAGCCTGTAATACTGTTTCACAGGTACAAGGGCAGGCTGATTTCTGCAGTGTGAAAAACTTAGCATTTTTAAGCAGCCATTAGGCCAATAATAACTCACCCAACAAATCACTGCTTGCCCTTCCTCAAACCCTGATTCTGCTACCATCCACGGCAGTGAAAATAATTATGTCAAAGGATGCATAACTAGTCCTTGTGTATATCAACATATGCATAAATATTCTGCTGTGCATCCAAATAGATCTCTGGCAGCTTCACTGGGGCTCTGTAATTGCCTTTGATTAACCTAGACATAATGATAGGAAGCTGCAAGATTGTAATGGAGATGAGAATTCTACTTAACAAATGGCCTTATCAGGTGCTAGTCTGTATATCTGCATTTGCTGGCTCACTCCTGAGAAACACAGGCTGGAGAGAACAGAGGAGAGGTGTTGAAATAAAATCATAGGACATGTAAGCTCAAAGCACTTGAGAGATGCAGTGAACCACAGTGTTCTCAAAAGCACAGGTTGTGCTCTCTCACTGCACGTGTGTTCTGATGGTTCTGATTTACAAATTGTTTGGAAAAAGAGAGGATTAAAGTTCCTGACATTTGTCATTTGAAACCTTCAAGATAGTTCACAAAGAAAAGTGATGTGATTTTTCTAGTCAGACAGACCAGCACAAAGGCAGATGTAGCAGGAACTGTGGCTTGAACAAAGGATTGATAGTCAGGAATTTGAGAACTGGAATCCTTGATCATATCATACCACCACATCCAGTGTTTATGTATACAAATAAGGCAATTAAGGCAAAAACCCCACATACCTAATGTTCCTTACCTGAATAAGAGTTCAATAACTAGAGACACCTGCAGATCAGAGTCTGTTCCAAAGATCATTGCATTAAGTGAGTCCTTACTCCTGATTATAAAAAATAGGCTCAACCTCTGTTCCTCAGCTTTTCCTTCTGACAAGTGACGGGGTGTTAAAAACTGTGGTGATTCATCAGATGTGTTATAAGGAACATTATCAGCTGAGATGAATGTTACATCATGTGTAATATTTATTGTCAGAGCAAGAGGAAATGTTTTCTGAAATTTAAATTTCAGCTATGAACTTTGGCAGACTTTCAAATGTTAATGATTTTTTGGGGGATTCCATGCAGAACTGTTGATGTGTTTTCTGAATCTGGTTTGCTTGCGTGTTCCAATTTATGTCTTTCCGTTTGCTTTCTTAATTCCTTTCAGATACAGAAAGTTTCTAGAATGTATAAAGCCAGCAAAAGGTTCCCTTTTCCATTTATATGTGGTAGCTCTCTTATGCCTTGGTCTGGAGAAAATATCTGAGAATGTCCTCTTTAATGTCCTTTTTCGTAGAACTGCCCGTGACACAATCACAATGTAACTGTTCCAGGATAAATATTTTGGGGTAATTTCCTTACTCTGTTCTCCTGTACTTCATATCTGACATTTCTACCTTAGGATTATCAGCTCTGCTTAGCATTAGGTATCATTGAAAATTAGGGTTTTTTTTAAAAAAATAACATTTCTTTTAAATATACTTATTTTAATTAAAATGTAAATCATCAGGGAAATACAACAAAATGATTAAATGTTGGGTAGGGATTTTTCATACGATAGAGATGTCACTTCTTGAAAGAAATCCAGACCTGAGAGAAGCTGACAGAATAAAGGCCACAAAATTCAGCTGTTAGCCTCTATGATGCACTTGGGGAATACTGATTCTCAACTCTGACTACAATAATAATACTGGGTTTGGAAGGTGCAAGAATGTCCACATTCTAACACCTATTCAGTAAATTTCTAGAACTGAAATACTCTTCTCCTATGACTTGGAAAACAAACACATAAACACAAACATAAACAGAAGATGTAAATGAGAGATGGACTTTGCTGCTGAGCACAGCAATAATGCATGTGATTAACTACTTCCCCAAACTGGATAATAAATAGTCTGACTGAGCATTATGAGTTTGACTTCACTGTTTTACAGGCTGGCTCCTAAACTGCACTTTTTAATGCCCAACCCTATTTGGGTACAGGTAGAGAAATTCATTAATATGCTGACAGGTAGTTCCAAAAAATTAGATGCTAAACTGAAACCTTAATGACAAACTCAGTCTCACTGACCTCAGCTGAAGTTTGGACCATTGTATGCACGTATCCATAGTGGTCCACCAGCTATACATCAGATTTAAAGGGCCAAAGGGATACAGATAAAGACCTTTTCAGCTCCTATTATATTTCACCGTGCATCTGTCAAAACTAACAAGATACAACCTGAGGAGGGAAACAGTACTTGAATAACATTTCATGGTGTCAGATAACTTGTTTTTGAACTTGTAGTATGAGCTAATGCTGATTTGCACACCGAAGTAAAGTTTATTTTTGAGAAACAGTCATCACATACTAAAGTAATTTACATATTAAAATAGGAAAGCATCAGACACCCTTATTTTAAACAAAGCTGACTCTGGCTTCATTGGCTTCAGCAAAAGATGCATTACACCTTGACTTTGTCCAAAAATTACTTTACAACCTCAACAAAATACTTTGCTGCCAACAAAATATAGTTACATCCACCACAATCTCAATGAAAGTTTCCTTCAATACTACAATACAGAGAATGATCTTAGAGATGGAGGAAACAGCACAAAAAGAGCATAAGAAAATGGCACCAAGTCAATACAGTGTGTTTTCAGAACAAACTGAAAGGAGGAAAAATGAGATGGCTTAGATCCCCTGGCATCTGTAAACATCAAGAAGACATCACATTTGGGCTAATCTCGAGGAAAAGCAGCCACATAAAGTAAATCTACAGGCTTTCTAAAGTAAATCTATGGGCTTTCTTGACCTTCTAAAGGATGGAAGATAATAGACGAATAAGAAGATAAAAGGAAGTCCTCTTTCTTTTTTTGTTAGAAAAGTTGCTTTAAAGTAGGATGGACTTTTTTTTCCTCTTACTTTGTAGGATCTATTTTAAATGACCTATTTAAATGCTCTGCAATTATGGTGCTTTTGTATATTTTCCATGCCGAGCGAACAGAAAGGGAATCCCTTGAAGTCATGGTATTTTAACCAACCAAAGAATAATATTTTTCTTTCTCTCTGAATTCTTCATACAAGGTGTCTTAAAATAGATAAGACAGGTTCATTACTGTTGTCATAATTGTCAGCTTCTGTCAGTTCCATTAGTGGATAAAGGTGTCTCTGAATATTACTTATGCACTCCTAGCCAGCCTCCCAAACTCTGTACAAGCTTCCTAAAACCATCCCCTCTGCTGCTCTTTCCAGTCACTCCAGCCTGTTGTTCAGCTGTTCAGCATGATCCCTGCTCCAATCCCTTCATTGGGACACAGCAGTTTTTTCTTCTTAATCCTCCTTCACTGCTTTTTGCTTACCTTATTGATATGTTAACATCCAAATATCTTTACTGATATATTAATCACTTATATAATAAAATTTGTTCAGAGCATGCTGACCTCAGATTTGCCCGGGCAGGGTATAACTTCATATCTTGGAGAAGACCTCAAATGTTGTATATCAAAAGAGTATTCAGGTTACAGATCTTCAGATTAAGCAGAGACATTGTTTTTGATTTCTTTCTTTATACTGAATGTGTCTACAAGTATATCCTCCTCTTGCCTTAAGAGGATTCCAATAATGCTAGAATTTGCCTTTAGACTACAATGTTACCAACGTTCAGGCATCAGTTTAGACTTTTCACATTAATCTGACTTTGATTCTTTCACTATTTAGTAAATATGCATAAATGTTTCTTCTGAAAATGAGATTTCATGGACATGTGGGAAGAAAAGATATTTTTCCTTTTTAAATGTTAGAAGGCCCAAGTGTGAGAAAATAACAGGCTTTGTTCTGGTGGAGCGAGGAAACTCTACGGAATTTTACTTTTCTTCTTTAATTTTCTAAATAAACTTTGATTAAAATTAAATTTACATGACTGTGAAGCTGCAGTAAACATTGTCAAACTTTTAATATATGCTGTTGCTCTGTGTTTAGTCCAGCTCATTCTCCTCCCATAACTTGTCCCATCTCTCTCGCACCCCCGTAAGTATCTGGGTACTCACACCACTAATCACACATCAGCTTTAACACTTCTGGAGCACTTTACAAGTTCAGTTCAACAATTTGGCTGAAAACTAACCTAAGCCAGAGAAGAAAAAAGCACTTATTTCGAGGTTAGTGAGCTGGTTCAAGGAGGGTCCAATAAATACCAGAGATCACACGTGAGTACAACAAGACCCTTCAGCTTGTAATTTAAAAAACTTCACTATTCTCAATAATTATTTTACACACCATAAAAATCTAACTTTAATTTTTTAAAGATATTTATGGGGTTTTCCCATCTTCCTTTTGATGGTTCAGCTCCCTGTTCCGTGGTGTGTCCATCCAGAGGAGAATGCAGCAGAGCTGCCTCTACCTATTACTGTGCTTACATCTTTGCTAAGGTAAGGAAGATTTCATTTACCTGCTTTTGGAGTAGTCTGGATTGGCTGCTCAGGGCCTGGAGACAGTTATGTGAGGCAGCCAGATAATGGGAGGACATTCCAACCTTCACCCAGCTCAGAAATCCATAAAGAGGGTGAGACACCCATCTCAACCACAATCTTTCCTGAGAGAGAAGCCCTGTCAGAGATTTAGGTCGGATATTGGGAAAAGGCTCTTCATGTAGAGGATGTTTGGGCACTGGAACAGGCTCCCCAGGGAAGCAGTCACAGCGCCAAGCCTGGAAGAGTTCAAGAAGCATTTGGACAGTCCTATCAGGCACATGGTGGGATTGTTGAGGATGTCCCGTGCAGGACTTGATGGTCCTTGTGGGTCCCTTCCAACACAGGATATTCTATAACTCTATGATCATTTTGATATGGTGTCAAAATGTTTGCTGCTAAAAGTAAACATCTCTTTTTTGGTTGTGGGTTCAGCATTCCTTCCCTGAAGCCAGTTTATATCAGATCAGCACAGGTGTTTAATCATTAGGTTAAAAACAATATCACAACTCAGTTACTGAAGTAGCTGCAATTCCTTTCTTGAAATACCATGCTTCTACATTCCTCTGCAGTAGTCTAGAGGCAATAGGAAAGCTACTATTGGCCTTCTTTTTTAAAAACAATAACAAAAAAGTCTGTAAGCTCATGAGCCTATGGAGGCTTTAATTGAAATTAATAGAAAATGTAAAAGTAGAGGAAATTAGGGCAGCTGCAAAAGAAGCCCCAGAAGCAAAAGCAGGTTAAAGTAGAGCAATGAGCAAACCCATGCAACAACTTAATTTTGCTTCAGATATTTCCCCCTTAGTAACTTTATTCCTCAAATCAAGCAACAAGTCTAAAGCACATGGTTTCTTCTGTAGAGGCCTATTAGTTCTACCACAGTGGTCTGTCAGCTGATGAGCACAGGAACTGCAGGACTTGGGGAGTGACTCTCGTGCTGAGAGACAAGAGTAGCTGGCAAGTTGCTCTGTGCTTATTCCCTGCCCCACATTGTCACAGCTTGAAGCTCTTGGTCCAAGAGACAGCACCAGCTTAAACTTCAGCAAAAATAGAATTTTTATTTTTCATTCTACAGATTGAATGACAATTACTTGATTCTCTTTCATAATATTTTGTAGGAAGCTTCATTCTTGAACCTTCTAAGAAATGAAGTAAAAGACTTTTCTGCTTGTAGGTAGCTTAATGAGGCAGTTATACCATCAACCCTTACACATGTGAGAAGCCCCATTTAGGTCTGTGGAATTCCAGAAGGTGATAAAAAACAGTCTGATGTGTGAGGAAAATATGGAGGAGTGAGGACTTAAATTAGAATATTCTAAATTCATATTCTGTTAATGTCAAGAGACCTCAACCCATCTAGTCCTGACTGGAAACCTAACAGATTTGGTATTCATAGCATAAAAGATTTCCCCTGCTCCACTGTTGAAGACAAAGTTATTAGGAGCAAACAAAGACCCATGTCTTGTAACACAGTACATTTTCTCCCCTTCTTAAAGTACCTTTTTCCTTCCTATCCTCCATCATTTCCAACCACAGTCAAAGTTCTTTAAATTTCCACTGCTGTACATGGGCATAGTTCTTTTATTCAGCTAATAGGCTGCTCGCTCAGGGAGGATGAAGTGTTATTTCATGATTTGATGTATTCAATAATGTCAGAATTTTCTAGCACAGGAGCCTTATTCTAAAGATTCTTATTCTCTTCTCAAGAAATCAGTTAGTGAGCAGTTTCCACAAGAGACTTGGGTAGGACAACAGCAGTTGCTTCTAGGCTTAACCTTATACCATAAAACCTTATGGAAAAATATCCCAGGGATGTTCTTCATCCATTATTTTTTCAAATTTTCTTTCTCCTGATTTCACACTTGGTTGTCTCAGGGGGCAAGAGGATATAGGCCAAACTTGGCTTTAGCCTCTGACAGTGAGCTGGAGGGTGAACAACCCCTGGGTAAATGAGCAGAGAGAAAGAAAATAAGTAAAGCACGGGACATTTTGCAATTTAGTGAAATTAAATGCCTACCCATTGTGCTCTGACAGTATAGTGTTATGGAAAGCTGGTAAGCACAGTGTTATGGAGCTGGACATCCCCACAAGCTGAGTTTACAAAGAGAACTGGTCAGAAGACCTGCTACCAGCAGCTGCCCACTTGATCGAACATTCAAGACAACAACTCATTGCAAATGAATAGCAAAAATGGAACTAAAAATCCCTGGCAATCCCTGCTGAAGGGATGCACACATTTCCAGCGTTCTCTCAGGTTTCCTGGGGGCAGGCAATGGGTTACTTTTTGCACATTGAAGAGGGTTTCTGAATGAAATGGAGTAATTTAGGTGGAAATAGCAGAGAGACAGGCAGAGACACATATCTGACAGTTTCTTCCACTTTATTTAGCACAGTGCTCTTTCTCAGTGGGTCTGTCTTCAGTCTGCCGCAGACTTGCACTGTTTGCTCTCACACTGTACCTTTAAAAGGATGTACATGCTGGGGCTCACTCAGGTACATACAGAGTTTTCAAGGATGCTCTTCCTCCCCCTCTTCTGACTGGCAGTCTGGCAAAATACACAGAAGACAGGGCCAGTGGGTGGAGTTATTGATTGGGGTTTTGGTTGTTTTTTTCTTTCCTCCTCAAAAGGCTATATCCTTATTAGTTGAAGCTCTATTATAAGAAAGAACTGCACAGTCATCGTACTCTGCTGTGTTGAATGTTGTTTGCTGAGTATGGCAGTTGTTACTGATCTGTCTGGGAGCAGAAACATGCTGCAGACCTGTTAAACACAAATTGTTTATCCACAGAAACCCCAGAAACAGAAAGAGCCCATAAAAAGCCTTTACTTTCGTATTCAAAGAATTGTTAACCAGATTTCCACATGTTCAAACAAAACAGTTTATTCTTTACCTGGGCCTGTGCAAAGGGCCTAAACATTAACTTTGGGGCTATTTTTACCAATCTTTGGGAAAAGGAAGGAGTAACATGTAGTGCTTACATAACAACTATAAAATAGAGTCTGATCCAAATGGTTTCCCATTCATTTCTGGAGACTTTTTATATAAGTTTCTACTCCTGGCATGAACCTTTTCAAACAGAGCAACCCCAACACATATGTGTGCATGTTTCTTCTCTCCCAGGTGTGTTTTTGGCAGCTGGATACACCAGGCTTGCTCACTGGTGGCCAGTAGAAATGTTGGCAAATGAGCAAGGAAAGCGTGCTCCTGTGCTTCTCATGACAATTGCTATTTCTTGTCTTGGTCTCCTGCTTCAAATAGCCAGGGGTGTGTGGGTCATAGGTATCTTTGGTTTGGAAAAAGAGCAGAGAAGTGCAACTGGGGGCCTGTGGAAAAAGCCTTTAGCATGAGCACGTGTTCATAGGTAACATGAAGGTAGGTGGCTGGCAACTGTATGCAAGACACCTCCTCCCCACCACTCAAGTGCACACATACAGCCTGATTTCAGGTGCTGCATCTTAAATTGTACTTGTAAATGCCCAGGAAGGAGTAGGATGTTTAGCTCCTGCTTCCTGACAGTTCATTTCTCACTCAGAAAATTATTGTGGATGAAAAAAACAAAGCAACTTATTGCAGAGAACTTCCCAGCTGAAGTCCTATTTGCATGTGTGTCAAATGGTGGGAGGAAAATGCTCTCCAGGGTTTCCTGCTGTGAGCAGTAGAGTCAGCATCTCAACTGGCCTCTGCATTTTGATGACTCTGTTACAGGAAGCTTTTTCTCCTGACAGACTTTGAACGCACATAAAGCTCAGTCTCAAGTTCCTGCATCGGCCCAGAATTAAATTGGGAGAGGTAGGTGACCAAGAAAGTCTGTATGTTTAAAGGAGAAGTATTATTTAGAAGCTCTCAGAAAAACATGAAAAGAAATAGAATATAAATAGGCTTCTGAAACTTCTGAGCACATTGAATGATGAGTAAAAAGTACCTTTCTCTTCCAAGAACTTCTACTTAGATATGGCAATGGCATTATCAACAAGCTAATTGTGCAATTACTGAATGCCACCCTGAGTGTGTCTGCTTGGGTGGGAAGTATTGTGTCTCACATTTCTACTTTTTTTTCAAATACTCTGCAGAAAATCCTGTTATGAATCTGTCTGCCTGTTAGCTTTTGCTCTCCTTAAGCTAAGCTGAAGAAGGAAAAATACGTGCTGCTGTGGCAAACAACAGACTGGGGAAAAAAATCAAAGGAGATGAATGAGGTTCCATCACAGCAGGAAATTTAGGAAAAGGTTAGAGATGACAATATTGGGCATGGTGTGTAGCCTGAAGTAATCTCGTAAACTTCAGGAAACCAGACCAGATACTCCAACTTGCCCTATCTGGCTCTGCTGTCTTCCAATTACTGTCTACCATCAGGCTACACAGAAAATTTCTACTGATAATGATAGAACCTCTAGCTGGATTTCAAAAAAGGGGTACAACCAAGTGATTCTTTAAAACACCCCTTAAAGTGTTTTATTCCTTAAGCACATCATCATCTTGGATCTCAGTCTTGACCTTAAGCTTGTGCTTATGTTATACTTTAAAATTATCCTCAGTCTGTTTTGGATTGTTGTCCTGACATATAAGCCTAAATCTTAGTGAGTTTGACATGATGTAATGGTAGGGCAAGTAGCTTAGAGATCACTTAAATAAGATTTGGAGAAGTAGTTATTTTTTGTGACTGTAGATTAGAAATAAAAATATATGACATACTAAAACCCTAATAATGAAATTGTGTTGCGTAACTAAGTTTCCCTCTCAGATAAGTTCTACAACACCATAAACATTTGCCATTGGCAGTAGCCACTTATAATAGAAACAAGAATGATTTGCTTATAGTGCAATTTCAGTTCTCAAATACATACCCATATCATGGTTTACTTGGTTAAAATATATTTTATTATGCTCCCTGCTTGATGTTTGATTCAGTCTTCTTAAGTAGTTGTCTGAATGGTGGTGGGAGTAGTGACCTCTTTGAAACTGTCAATATGCTCCTTCACCTACTAAATAAGCAAGGAATGAGTTTGACATACCACTTAAGGTAGCTGGTTAAACAAAATAGGCATCTTGATCCTTACACCTGCATTTCTGTGCCTGTCGTTAAAACAGAGCTATAAGACAGATATCATTCTAAATGAGTTTTATTCTAGACCTTTGATCTCTAATTAATTGGTTTATTTAAATAGAGTTGGAAAAATTCAGCTTAAACTATATGCAAATCCGTCTAAACCAGGCCCTTTATATACACACATTCCCTTTTATGTGAACAGTACTTTGTTAATGGCTCAATAATTAAGGGAGTTTACATTTTAAAGACTTCAGTTTTTAATTGGCTGAATATTAATCACAGATCACTTTCAGTTCTGTTGTGATATGCAAATTATTGATGCCTCAGCTGCATTTGTTTTCAGGTATCAATCTAACCGCATAATGCAAAATAACATTCTGCAATTATTTCAATTAGATGCAGTCAGCCTTTGGAGCAAGCTATTTATTTCATTTCAGTAAATGAAGAAAGCAGTTGCTGTTTTCCATTCCCTGGTGTTTACTGCCCAGAACTAGGACTCACAACTGGTATGTGTACAGCACATAAACAGTTTTCTAACTGGATCACGTTAGAATCCATGGTAAAGGGCAAGCAATTGAACTCCCCTTGCAAGATTTCATTTGGCTAACTGACTCTTCTGCTTTGGAATGAGATGTCACCTTGTTTGGGGGTATTCATTACCATTTTAAAGTGTATTATGAAAGGTAGAGTCAATAAGAGTTCCTAATTAGCAGAATCTGTTTAGCACAAGTGCATAACATTAGAGGATTTTTTCCATCAGACTGCAGCTGTTACCTAGGCAGAGAGGAGGAATTCCACCTAACCACAAAGAATAAGATAGACAAATAGCTGCGCTGTCTTAAGAACGGTTCGAGTATGTCTCCTCGCAGCGATTTCGCTCCATAATTGCAATCCACATTAAATGCAGCAAATGTTACCACCCTGCCCACTCAGTTTCCACCTCTACTTTTGTTTCAAGCGGGGAGGGAGATAGAAAAGGAAGGGGGGGGGG